AGAGTGGGCAGGCACACAGGAGCGAAGGGGCATGCCAAACAGAATCTGAGCAGGAGATCGACCAGTGAAGTTTGGGGTGTTACGTAACTCGAGTAATCCTCTATTGAAATCCTCATTGTCATTATTTCCGTTGGGTGCTGTCTTCATGACCAGATGCTTGACCTTCTTCACAGCAGCTTCTGCATGCCCATTGGACTGTGTGTAATGGGGGCTTGACATAGCATGACGTACTCCCTATCGCTGAAGGAAAGTTGCAAATTCCCGGCCGGAGAACTGTGGTCCGCCGTCAGTGCGTAGGCGAACTGGCACACCCAGATCACGGAACAAATGCCGGAAGAATCCAATTGTCGAAGCACTTGTTGCACTAGTTCCACATGGGATGACGACAGGCCATCCTGATAGTCTGTCAGCATACACCAAGAAGTGTTTTCCAGCAACACTGAAAAAGTCTGCCGACACAGACATAAATGGTCTTGTGGGTTTGTCATCCAAAATCAGTGGCTCCTGTTACTGACTAGGCTGTAGGCGCTGGCATGGCTCACAGGCACGGACAGTGTTTACAATGTCAGCATTAATGCCTGGCCAAAAGACTGTCTGTTGTGCACGACGCTTTGTTGCTTCCACGCCACAGTGACTGTCATGCAGGCGAGCTAGGATGCTACGACGTAAAGAAACAGGGACAACCACTCGAGGTCCATACAGCACCAAGTCACCATTGTTGTACAATTTGTTGCGAATCTTCCAGTATGGACGCAGGGCACTTGGTAGGTTGTAGCGGTCTTTGGGGAACCCTGACTTTACATGGTGTAGCAGCTCCTCATAAGAAGCATCCTTAGAGGCAGCTGTACGCAATTCTTCCAAGAAGAGATCCTCTTGCTCATCTATGGCTTCTGATGCTTTAGTAGACTGAACAGTGTGCAGAGCTACAATCTTGACAGAGGTGTCCATTTCAGCATCGAAGGTATCATCTTGCACTGTTGGGCGACTCACAGGTGACCGGGAAAGGGCATCAGGGATGCACAACTTACCTGCATCATTATGCCGAATTGACACACAGACTTTAGGGGAAGGCTGAGGCTTCGGTCGTGTAGTAGAGGTGATACTCCTGGCATATGACACTGAAGGGGATACTGAACTTACTACCTTCAAGTTCTGGTTGGTGTCCTCTTCTTTTGTCTTCTTAGCCCTCCCTGTCTTTGGGCAGCATTTGTCATAGTGTCCCTGCCTGTTGCACACCCTGCATCTGGCATTCCTGGCAGGACACTTGGAAGCAGTAGCCCAATGGCCTTTCTTGCCACAAGCACATGTGGAAGTGGTGGCCCTGCACAAACCTTTTTCGTGTTGACGACCACAGCAGTTGCAGGCCTTATTAGGCGGAGGTGAGCCAGGCCTCATCTTGGACTTCTGCTTCAGGGCAGCCTTTTTCTCTCTTTTATATTGAGAAACAGCACGTGAAGAAACTGTGTCCTTCAAAGCAGATGATGCAGTCTTTGACGATTCATGAGACCTGCATTTCTCCAAAACATCCTGCAACGTTGCTGAGCGGTCCATCTCAATGAGCTTCTGGGTAAGTTCCTCATCTCGTATACCCATTAATATGCCGTGTTTCTTCCACTGTTCACAGCATGCTTGGTCCTGTGCCTTGCAAAGGTCTATCTCCTGTGACAAGATTTTCAGGCGTATCCAAAAGTCATCGAAGCTCTCGCCATCTGCTTGCTTGCACTCGGAGAAGGCCTTCCGTCGTAGCGCCTCATTACTTGCATTTTTGACATGCGTTTCGAGCTTTGCCAAGACATCGTCCACTGAGCATGTTGGGTCTGCGGGCACATCCAACTTGTGCTCCAGCACCCGTCGCATCTCAGCTGTAAGGCACATGCGTAGCTGTATATGCTGCTTTGATAATGGTAGGCTGACAAGATCCACCATGACAGCATAATCGGACCATTCGCGCTTCCATTCGCAAAATTGTTGGGGACTCGCGTCTGCCGTTAGTGCTTTCGGAGGCTGTATTGTTGCCCACGGGATCGGTGGAGTGGGAGAAGCAGTGGCCGCGGCAGAACTGCTCACTGGCGAACTCGCAGGTGAAGCTGCGGGCTGCTGGGGAGTGAGGCGAAGGATCAGCTCCTGAAAACGAGCAGACTCCTTGTTCTTCTCTTCTTTCCGGCGGGCTTCTTCCTCCTTCCGGCGGGCGTCTTCCCTCTTGCCATCCCTCTGAATTATTTACTGCAGCAAAGTGGCAACATCAGTGGGAGGTGGGGTGCTGGTACTGGCCCCTGCAGACTCGTCAAGGCTGGAGTCTCGCTTGTCAGGGTCGCTCTTGCTCGTATCTTCTTTCTTCTTTCCTTTACCCATTGTAACGCGGTAAGGGTGTCAAGATAATACAGCAAAATCGCCGAAAATCCGGTGAAGATACGAAAATGTAGCGTGGGGCAGTGAGTGTTATGGCACTCGTGTGCGCGGTGCCAGTGCGGTGACGTCACGGCGGACACGTGCGGGCAGGCGAGCCACGAGCGCGAGAGAAGCAGTCGCTCACGAAGCGTCGTACAGAGCGTAGGGTATACCTCGCTCGTACCCCAAAATGCTTCGTTTGGCTCCCTTATGCTACGAAAATGTCCCCTGAGCACACTAAACACTGCACGAACACTATAGGCACTGCACAATACACATCAATACACTAGAGCACTACACCACTGCATCAATGAAGTACACTGCCGAGTGGGTTGATTGCTAACCTAGCACGAGGGTGGACGAGGCGCGGGGCCGGCGACACGCCATGAGGTCGAGGGGGCCTGGGGCGGGCAGCAATAACAGGTGTCAGAACTGAATTTACTGGATCACTGCGCCATGTTCGTCTTCTTTGTTTGCTTGGTGTCCTTCTATGATACTTGAGGGCGAAGAAAACACCAATGAAAATTAAAGTAGCTTCATTGGAAATCAGGTCTGACAAAAATAACACGGAACTCTTCATGTTCCTCTGCTCCACACGCCAGGCTCCGTCTTTCTGTGTTTACTGACAGACATGTGACTACAGAGACAAAATAAAATGTACTCTATAAATCAAACAGAGAATATCATTCTTTCATATAAGTGATATGCTATACAGCAATATAAACTAAACATAAACTTCTATATTTCACTTGGTATAACATATCACACAAGAGGTAGTGTATATAATATAATAACATAATTACCACAATATGCGTACGATAATACTGGCATTATAATCCATATGCATCGGCATCACAACATGGCAAGAGAGAGTTACGAAATGTGTTGTACTCTCCGTGTTGTACGGTTTGTTTACGGACTCTCCGCTAGCCTTTGGAAATCAATCCTAACCCACAAGGCAGTGGGGTGGAAAATGGGTAATATGCCTTTCCAAAGGGCAACCCAGGGTGCAGTTTAACGTCCTACCCAGGACTAATATATATATATATATATATATATATACATATATATACATATATAAATATATATATATATATATATATATACATATATATACATATATAAATATATATATATATATATATATATATATACATATATATATATACATATATATATATATATATATATATATATATATATATATATATACATATATATATATATATATATATATATATATACATATATATATATATATATATATATACATATATATATATATATACATATATATATATATATATATATATATATATATATATATATATATACATATATATATATATATATATATATATATATATATATATATATACATATATATATATATAATATATATATATATATATATATATATATATATATATATATATATATATATATATATACATATATATATATATATATATATATATATATATATATATATATATATATATATACATATATATATATATATATATATATATATATATATATATATATACATATATATATATATATATATATATACATATATATATATATATATATATATATATATATACATATATATATATATATATATATATACATATATATATATATATATATATATATATATATATATATATATATATATATATATATATACACATCAGGATTGGTTCGATGTAACACTGGAGAAGTTGTTTGCGGATGTTGAGCGAGATGTTACAGTTCCTTATTATATTGTTCATGCTCTGGAATGCCGCTTTTGCTTGGCCTATGCGACAACTAAACTCGGTTAGGCAACGCCCATCAGATGTGATTAATGCGCCAAGGTACTTGAATTTTTCTTCTTGTTTAAGGATGGTACTGTTCGCAGTTATGTTGCATGATGGTATTTACCCCTTCTTGATGACGACCAATGTCTTGGTTTTGGTGTTATTAATGGAGAGATCTTTCCTTTCGCTTTCAGCGATGGCTGTATTTAGCAGAGACTGCAGATCTTCTTCTGTCTCTGCCAGCAGGACTGTATCATCAGCGTACCGTAAGTTGTTGATGTTGTTACCACCTATCTTAATTCCATTTAAGCATTCCAAACTGCGCATTATAATTTCACTATATATTGAAAACAAGTCTGGTGATAAGACACATCCCTGGCGTACCCCTCGTCTGATCTGGAGTAATGATACATCTAGTTGTTCCCTTAGGGTAGGTTTCTTTAGTGTTCTCATCTTGGCCCTAAATCGGCCCATCACTGGAACATGATCGCTGTAACAGTCTGCTCTTGGTAACGTTTTGGATACCAAGAGAGAGTTACGAAAGCGTTTATTAACAAGAATGTAATTAATCTGATTCCGGGTGTGGTCATCTGGACTCAACCATGTCCACAGTCTTCTTAGTGGTTGCTTAAACCAGGTGTTTCCAATTATCATGTTGTTCGTTTGCGCCCATTCCACCAGCATCTCCCCTCTCTCATTACGGCTTCCTAGTCCATGAGGACCCACGATGTTGTCTACCCTCTCGTTACCAACTTTAGCATTGAAATCCCCCATAACAATGATGATATCCTGGGATTTGCACTG